ACTCGACATTCAGACAGAGCTAAGAGGTGCACAGAATTCCAGCTGTGCGAGTCCAAAGTCCCCGCTGCTGCCTTTCCCTGATGGCCTCAAAGCAAAAAGTCTTCCTCTGGACGAGGGGCTAGGTGCCGGCCTGCAGGTCTATTTCCCAGTTCTCAAATAGCCAGTTGCCCGTTTCCTTCACAGGAAGTGTAGCTAGCCTCACACATACACTCAACAAATTTATAAAAAGTTATTCAACTTAAACTTGTACCCTACACAGGACCACCCCTGCTTGCAGTCTTTTCTTATAAATGATTTAATGATTTTACCAAGGCAATTTATTTGAATAATTCCTATGTGCCACTATAAGAAAAAAAACCCAACTTATTATTAGATGATGTAACCGCTTATAATAAAACAATTTTTTTTTTTGCAATCTTGCCTTGGGATTTTTCCATTTTTAAAACATTTATATCAAGAGACCAAAACCTCTGACAGACCCTAAGTTCAGCAGACTACAGTGCACTTAGACTCCCGCCCTGGAAGTATGTAGGAATTCAGATCAGCAATTCAGCATTGCACAGAGGTAGTAGTAGTAGTAGTAAATGTCAACAATAAAAAAGGTCCTACCAGTCGTACAGTACTTAATGGTTTTCAAAGTGCATCCACACTTCTGTGATCCAACCTCTAGAGCCAAACCAGGGGAATGCCAGTGCTAATGAACAATCTATTCATCTATTCGACTACCATAAATCCTAAAGCATGATTTGAATCCTATAATAAGGGCTTTGAATGACCTTGACTCCACCTCTTAGTGACCTATGATGGTAGAAAAGTCACATTGCCTCTTCGAGCCTCGATTTCCTCTTGTGTGAATGGAGGGCAGGTTCACTAGGCTACAGGCAGCTTCAGTGAACCAGAACAGGATACAATTTGGAGGCACTTCTTCATGTATAAAGACAAATGAATGGAGTTGTTGTTGTTTTGTTTGTTTGTTTTGGCTGTTATTGTCATTCTTCTAAACATTGTTAGGTTATTCCTTTATTCCTTGTGACTTCCTTGGATTAGAAGCTCTGCTGTTTTCTTCATCATGGCTTCTGCAGCAGCAGAGTGCCCTCCCTGAGTGTGTGCAAACACCCATGCTACCGCAGCTCTTTCTGACTTACAAAGTGCTTTCAAGCATTTGCTGCCTCTCACAGTTTCTGCATAGCTCTGTGCCATTCCCAATTAAAATAGTTGGCAGAGTGAGATTGGTGGACTACAAGGTTGAAGCCTCCGAGCCCCTTTGGCAGCAGACTGGGCCCCAGCACCAGTCTATTTTGCTTCCCCCTAAAGAGTGCTGCCCCATGCCCCCTGATTATCCTTTGCCCAGGGCCTCCTCCACTGCTTTCCAGGTTTCCGGGAAATATCTGATTCTTCCTATAGCTTATGTTCTGTTGGTGATGGCTTTCTCTTGAGCAAAGCAGGAGGCTTTCTGTAAGTGGGCTGAATTCTGTGGACTTTGCAGGTGGAGGACAGATTCTACATTTCCCTCCATAACATCAACAGAAACTTGGGTAGAGAAGAGTGGATGTTCAGCTGGTGGCTGGTCAGGAAATTATTGTCACAGGACCCTTTCCTGGAGGGAGGTCTGCAGGTGTGGGATGAGGTTCTACTTCTCTGCAGTATTGGCCTGTCATTGCCAGGCTTTGCTCCAGAGGCCCCCTCTCTCTGACAGGAGGGGACCAAGAACTAGGACCAATACTTCATCCTTCACTCCTCAGAAACCCCAGCAGACTACTCCTCCAGCCAACCCAGTCTCTTTAGGTTCAGGTCACCGACACTCCTGAGTCACGGCTTGGAGGTGTCAGGACATAGTGTTGGAGACCATTTCCCACTGTCTCCAATGACATTAGATTAGCCATCATCCTCTCCCCCTTCTCAGTGTGAAGGTCATGCAAGGATGCAGAGATTCACTACAGCCAGTAAGCCACTTGTTTTTGAAAATAGAATCCAACCTCAACTCTGCCATATCCCTGTATAACCAAACATTCTATAGAGAGGCACAGAAACCTAAGCTCTTGGAATGGGACAAAGTTTGAGATAAATGAGGCCAGCAGACCCAAGTGCCTTCCTTTCTCTCCCCACCCCCCACACACCAGTGACAAACTTGCTGCCAGAGTGAGATCTGTGGGTCAACCTTGATCCTTGGGACTCATTTCAGCCCCAGTCATAGTGAATTCTGTCTCCTTTCCCAGCTATTCCCCTTGCCTTGGTTTATCTATCTGTAAAGTGGGCAGGTGAGTCCTGAAGATCCCCCAAGGCCAGCTCTAATGCTCACTAAAAGGCAAATGGACAGAAGGATGAAGAAGAGGAAGAACTCAGGCTCAAGTTGCAACCCTAATTGCTCTGAGACAGGCCTCCAGAAGGAAAAGAGGGCTTGGAGCAGCATGTTAGAGAGCAGTGAAGAGCCCCTGGAGCAGTCAGCAGGGTGTCAGGAGCAGGGCTGTTTTCCAACTAAAAAGGGGAGTGGGTAGGAAAGGGTGGGAAAAAGTAATAAAGTAATGCCGTAATTTCCAACAGAAATCGCATCTGAAGCCTAAAACACGGGTAAAGACACCGGTCTTGTGTCTGGAAATGAGATAGGAAATCTTCCTAGATCTAGCAGGATTCAGAGGTTGCCTCCGACTCCCGACCTCAGAGCAGTCCCGGGGCAACTGGAAGGGAAATTGCTACAATCCTGATCAAACTGAATTCTCTTGAGTCTTTCACCCGGCTGCTCCAGTTAGCCCAATAGGGCCGGCCCAGGCGGGGAGCGCGGGAGTGGGAGAGGGAGAGAAGGGGCGCCGCCCCACCCGGGTGGGATGGGAAGGGAAGGCTGGTGCGCGGGCACGAGGGAGCTGGGGGGTGGGGGTGCGACCCTGGAACTTCGGTCGTTCCTTTTTCTCTTGGAAACTTCCCGATTGTTTCACTTACAAAATTTCCCTCTTGGCACGCAGCAACAAACTACTGCCATTTTCGGAGAGAGCGAGAAAAAGAGAAAAATCCATCTCCCCTTCCTTAAAAACCCACATTAAACGGAGCTCTCTACGGAAAGAAAAGGAGGAGATTGTAACGTTATCGGAAACGTTCCAACTTTCTACAAGGAAAATGCATTTATGATTAATTATAAAATTAAAGTGTAATTTTAAAATATTTCAAAAAGAAACAAAATGATGGCAGGAACCATCTGGAAGGTCGTTGGGCTTGGAAGGGAGAGGGCGGGGTGTGCATTTTCCGAGGCCCTTTGCCTTTCACTTTTCGCTGTTCCCGGAAGGGGAAATCTTTTGGTAAAGCAGGTCGCCACGCTCCTCCTCCGCTGGTACGAAGGGTTGAGGGACTCTCTGCTGCGGCCTTCTCAATACGCAGGGAGGCCGGGAGGCCGGGGAAGATTGTGGCTGGGGAATGGCGCAAATCAGCCTTTCCCCTCCAGGTGAAGTTGAAAGAAGCCGAGGCCTGGATTTCCGTGTTTCCGGACTCTGGAGCACCGGATCGAGGCCTGGGCGCCTGCAATGTGGCATTAACTCTTCCTCCCTCGCCCCGGACCTTGCGGGAGGGCGGAGCTGAGACAAGCATTTTGCTGTGGTGAATTGGGTATTGGGGAGTCTGGAACGCCTGCGGGGCCTGTCCATCTGTAACGTGGAGTAATAAATAAATAAACCTTGCCCATCCCATCTTCTGCTCCCCCAATGGATTTCGGTACAGAGAAAAACGACGGCATGTCATTGAAGGAGCAGAAGCGCTTTGAAACACCATTGAGCACTATTTGCTCCCAGCAGAGAAAAAGGCCCAAGGTGCTCCTTCCCTGGAGAATTGGTTCAGAATTTCAAGCTGGAGTGTTTACTAGCCCGTTTTGGGAATGAAATAAAAACTGGATCACTTAGGAGAAATGCTGCGAAAATCGAAAGCAAACAGGATAGCGGAGGACTCGAAAATGTCCCCAGATTAGAGAAGGGCATGGAAATTGGCTGTGGGTTCAACTATGCCCTGGAGAAAATAAGGATTCCTAGAATTGGCTAGGGGATTCCGTGGGATTCACCCGTGACTCCTACAACCCCCCCCCCCAAGTGGCGGTTCCCTGAGCTGTATGGGTTCAAGCCCTTCCTGCACGATGGGGGCCGCTCCTGGGGAGGCAAGATGTCCCCAGTCCAAGAGGAAAAAGAGTCTGGGAGCTCCAGCCACTTCCAACTCGCATTGTTGGTTCCCCCAAAGCCAAAGCCGCACCGAGAGTTTCAGAGAAAACAAGGCGTCAAGGAGGGCAAGTTAAACTAAAAGTTTATAAATAAAAAAAATACAGCGAATAGTTTCCAAACTTCACAAATCTTTTTAAAGATAATATTCTAGTTGAGTGCACAGTGCCCTTAAGGAGGCGAAAAGCGGCGAGGTTGACCAGACAGGTAGGATCACCTGTCTTAGGAAGAGGTGAGGAGTAAAAAGGGGAGTCCCGAGCCAGAGCGCAGAAGTCCCGAGGGGGTCTGGTAGAAACCAAGGGCCAAGCGGCTGGACTGCGGAGGACGCCATGGGAAGGCTGGCCGGGGATATTCACATTGAATACAAAAATAACCGTTATTTGATTACAAACAACTGAAAAGTGCTACAAGTCTTAACCTCCTTTGAAAAATAAAAAGAAATAAAGGCAAGTTTCTGCGAAAGGCAGCTCAGGGTGTGCTCTCCTCTCATTAGGGGCTCTCACGCACTCCCCATTTGGGCACGGCCCTGAACTTCGTTGGGAAAGGGAAAGTGTGGGGGCTTCCTGACCTGCCCCACGCTTAGAGGTTCTTTTTCTTACATTCAGCACCCTATAGGGCACCCCTGTCCGTGCTCTGGAGGGATGGGCGGAGGCCCCCAAAACCAAACCCTTCACAGTTCAAATCACCCCCTGGCCTGGGGCAGCCAGGCTTCCGCACTCCTTTGTCACAAATGCAATTTTCAAAAATAAGAGTTATGTAGATACACATAGATCGGTAGCATGGATACCATGAACTAGTGTGGCCTAGCGCACGAAGCTCTCGGCAGGCCTGAATTTCTGGGGATTCAGGCTTTGTGGTCTCCAGGAGTCCTCTCTGCTCCGGGGAAACACCGTCCCCCAGGGGAACACAATCCAAATCCGAATCCAAATCCACAGTCGTGGTAATAAATAGTGTCCCGGGGCTTACAGGCAGGTGAGGGGCAAGTAGGGCTCCTAGGCCATGGGGTGACTCTGTTCAAATTAGAAAAAAAGGCGCCCCCTCTGGGCTGACTTAGTTCAGGTCACACGTATTGACTGGCGGAGCCAGAGCTGGACTTGATCCTGCATTTGCCCCTTGGGTTGAGCGCCCCTGCACAGAGTACAACCTGCACAGAGGTCGGCGCTAGGGCGCAGGAATCACTGGGTGATTCCAGGCGGCTCACTGGGTGCCTGCAGCGGCGGCGCACGTGGACAGCGCCCAGCCCGGGAGGCAGTAGTAAGGGTAATAGTAGGAGGGCTGAAGTGGCAGAAGCGAAGGTGGCCTCAGCACCTCGCCCGGCAAATACTGTCTCTGGTCGTCACGCACCAGCACCTTTACTGCCACCTTCTTGGCTGCGGGCGCCGAGGCCAGCAGGTCGGCGGCCATCTGCCGGCGCTTGGTCTTGTAGCGACGGTTCTGGAACCAAATCTTCACCTGAGTCTCGGTGAGCTTCAGTGACGCTGCCAGGTCAGCGCGTTCGGGCCCGGACAGGTAGCGCTGGTGGTTAAAACGACGTTCCAGCTCGAAGACTTGCGCGTGGGAGAAAGCGGCCCGGGAGCGCTTCTTTCGGGGTTTGGGCGCAGCGGGCTCTTCCTCCTCCTCTGCGCCGCCCGCCGGCCCGCCGCTGCCTCCGCCGCCCGCCCCGCTGCACAGCCCTGGCAAGCGGGCACCTCCGGGGCCAACACCGTCATCCTCGGCTCTCGGGCTGCGGTCGCCTGCAGACCCCGAAGGAAACAAAACAAGAGGCCGTTACATTGATGAGATTATGTGCGTGCACGAATATGCCACCATGAACCACACTATTCTATTATGCACTAGTAAAAAAATTCAACAAGAGAATGACAGAGTCGCCGAGTGAGTCTGAGTCTCAACTGCAGGGGCCACCCAGACTAGTTGGGGCCGGAAATACATTTTGATCCCACCAAAACGGAGGTGAAGTTCCGCAATCCGTGGCTCCGGACTCATGTCTCAGAAGCCTATGCCATCCGCTTCTCGCATCTAGGCCTCTTCTGGTGAGGGTAAACCAATCAGCAACTGTGCCAGCGCTGTGTTTCCCGTGCATTCTGAGCTCCAGGTTCCGCTTAGTAACGTGTCCCCTTAGTAACGTGGGACGCTGGGCCTGAGCATCCCTGCAAGCCCTCGGCTCTCAGCAACGAGCCTTGGAGGTCTAGACTGCGTTTCTGTGTCCCTCCTCAAGGAGCCTTGGAGGTCTAGACTGCGTTTCTGTGTCCCTCCTCGGGCTCACCGCCTCCCCACACTCACACTCACAAATGTGTGTTGTCACAGCACACACGCATTGGCTACAGGTAAAGGGAATGTCGGGGGAACAGATCTTGGAACCAGAGGTAAGTGGACTGTTCTTCCCCGATTGCCTTGGATTGCAGCGCCAAGGCTTTAGGTGGGTTTTCCGACTCTCTTCCCGAGAAAATGAGAAGAGGGATTGAGTGGTGCAGCGAGGTGTCTTTCCCTGGCTCCAGTCCTAAGTTTCTTCTCCCGCTCTCCCTGGAGCACCCCAGTACAGTGGCCTACTGTGCTTGCCTGCTTTGAGCCAGGCTAGGCCTACAGTAGCTTGCACCGGGGTCAACTTCACACCAAAAAATGTTTCAGCTTCTGGCTGAGGAGTCTCCTCTCCTGGGTGCCTTAGTTCTGACCTCAGACTCACCCTCTTCCTTCAGGTGGCTACTGATTTTGCTCCCAGCTCCTGCTCTCCCATCCCTAGGGTTGAAAAACTAAACCAGCCTCCCCCCCCCCTCCCAAAGCCTCTCTTTCTTTATGTCCTGGGCTCTGGCCCGCTTGGAGGTGTCCTTCACAATTTATTCGGATTAGGAAAAGGTTGAGTCGTGGGATATCCAGAGGTTAGGGTATTGGGCCACCGACAGATCACTGTCTACCTGAGGTCTCTGGTCCCCTTTTGCTGACTTTGAGGATTTGTGGACAGACACAGCTAAGGCACTGACGATGAACTCGGCCGGGCTCTCCCAGCGCAGAATGCAACTGTCCACTTCCAACCCGGTCCAGGGCACACTGCCTCGAGGAAGCAGGGCTTTGAGGAGTTCCTCAACCTCTGGGGGTTCCAGTTCCCAGAGGGTCAGGGAAGTCCTCGCCAATGTGCAGAACCTTGGGACCTGGCCAGAAGCTGAGCCCCCAGGCTCAGTTTGCCGCAGCAGGCCCACCCTACTCCCCACGGTGACCTCCTTGTTCAGCCCCCTTCCCCCGAAGCCAGCAGACCTGAAACGCTGGCTGACATCTCGCTGTCGCTCCGGCCCGCGGCTTCCTCCTCCAGGTCCTTGGCGGCGTGCAACTCACAGACCGGCTGGTCGAGGCCCAGGGTCCCCCCGGCCACGCCGGCCCCGCTGGCTGCCGGCACGTCCGCGCAGCGCCGCCTGTTCTCGTTGTCCTCGCTGAGAGCAGAGTCCGAGTCCCAGCCTCCCGGGGTCTCCGCAGTCTGCCCCGCAGCTGTTCTGGCCCGGGCAGGAGACGCTAGCAGTGAGTCCTCGGCGCCCCCCAGCGAACCCGCGTCCGTCTCCCCAAAGAGCCGCCAGCAACAGACAGCGGGCGCTGCGGCCACCGCCACCGCTGTGCTCCCAGGCGCCGAGCGCCCCTCCGGCACAGCCACCCCGCCGCGCTCCTCTTTCTTGTTGAGGATCGCCTGGATGGAGAAGGGCGTCAAGGTGTTGGCGCCGCGCACAGCCATCTGCGCCGCGGGCCGGAGCGGGCGGCCGGCCGGGCGGGCAGCTGGGGCGCGGGGCAGCTCCGAGCCAGACAGAGGACGCCAGCAACCCGAGCGCGAGTGAGCCGGGCGCGCCAGGCCCTCGCAGCCCACTACTGCGCAGCTCAGCAGCCCCCGCCTCCCTCTATCCAGGATCTGCTCCGACCCTCGCCCCCACCTCCGAGGCCCACCCCGCCTGGAGACCCCCGCCCCCCGAATCCAGCGCCAGACGCTCTCCTTTCCCCGCTCAGCTGGATTAGCTCTTCGCCTATCGCCCTTAGGGGCGGGCCAGGGTTTGCCCCCTCCGGGGAAGTTGGGGAGAATTGGTGGGGGCCCCTCCGCAGCTTCAGTCCCTAGTTCCTCCGGGGCGCACGGCCCAAGTCACTTTTCCTTAGCGCCTCCGTCTCTTCCCCGCCTGCAGGATCGCACTCCGGGTCGGTCCTCCCTCTTCCCCGCTGGGCTGGCTCTTCCGGAGCCCACCCCCCT